TGATTGGTCAAAATAGAAATTTTTTATTGAGGAGGAGTATGCCTCTTTGCATAAGAGGAAAGTCTTCGGTCCAATTGTAGACATTCTTATATCTTGCCATGTGGGATATAAGATGGTATTAATATGCAAGCGAGATAATAATCTGCTATAAAGCTTGTCTTCTTGCTCAAGGATTTATTCAATGATTTTATATTGATTATGAATCTACATATACTCCAGTCATGGATTCAATTACATTTTGATATATTATTGGAATGGCAGTTCATGCCACCTTTGAGATACATCTGATGGATGTGATAACTGCATATCTATATGGATCTCTTGATGCAAATATTTATATAAAAGTTCCATCTAATTTAGAAACAGGAACTCCAAATGGACATGCTTCAGGATAATATTGTGGTATTAAATTATGTAAGGCCTTGTATGATTTAAAATAATCGAGATGCATATGGTATCAATGTCTTTGAGGTTATTTAATTACACATAAATTTGTAAATGATCGACTAATCCCTTGTTTATTTATCAAACAAGTTAAAACTGGTTTTGTGATCATCATTATATATATTGATGATCTTAACCTAGTGGGTACTATATCTACATATGTTGCAGCTATTAACTTACTTATACATGAATTTGAGATGAAAATACTAGGAAAAATAACTTTTTGCATTAGTCTTCAGATTATGGATCTCACAAATGGTAGCATTTTTTTCTACCAAATAACATATATTAGACAAATCTTGCAAAGATTCAATATGATTGATGCTTATCTATTGTCCACTCCAATGATTGAATATGGTTGTGATGGTTATGATCCATATCGTCTATGTGAGGACGAGGAGAAAATATTCGGAGATCAATATCCATACCTTACAGTGGTTGGAACACTTTTATATTTGGCTACATCTACAAGACTAAATATTACATTTGCAATTAGTGTTCTTGCAAGACATAGTGCACATCCAACACTATGGCATTAGAATGGCATCAAATATTTATTATGTTATTTAGAAGGTATTGAAAACTCGGGATTATACTACACACAATCTGCAGATCCAAAATTGGTTGGATGTTGTGATGTGTGATATAAATATGATACTACAACAGCTAAATCTGAAATATGATATATATTTTTAAGACATAGAGTTGCAATATCATGGAAATCATTGAAATAAACAATAACTGCAACTTCATCCAACTATGTAAAAATTATTGTCTTACATGAAGCATCTCGAGAATATATTTGGTTGCAATCAATTGATAAATTCATTCAAACAACATGTGGATTTTCATATGATGATTCTCCAACTATATTGTATAAAGACAATAAAGCTTGTATTGCATAGATGCAAGTTGGTTTCATTAAAGGTAGCAAGACAAAGCATATTGATCCAAAGTATTTTAGTTATACCCATGACTTAGTTATTGATTACGCACTTATAATTAAGAAAATTAAATCTGCAAATAACTTTGCTGATCTCTTGACTAAAGCTCTCCCATTGTGCAACCATTGTCGACTTACTTATAGCATTGATATGCAGCGACTTGCTTTTCTTGAATAAGAAATTTAATGAATTCTTTAATTAATTAAAGAAAATGATGTTGTATTCTTTTTCCTTCATCTATGGTTTTGCCCTTAAATACAATAAGGTTTTTCTAGATAAGGTTTTAATGAAACAACAATTGTTGATCTTGTAAGATTACAGAAAAGTATAAATTATAATTCTATACAAATTTTATATTATGCAAATATTATGATGAGCAAGGAGGAGTATTGAGAGCATTAAATGTAGCCGGCGCTCTCCATAATATTTATTGTAGTCTACAACAAATACTATAGCTACAATATTTGGAATGTAATGAAGAGGAATTGTTTATCCTCTCCCCTTCTCCTATTAAATACATGATACAACTAGATCAATAGATTTTTTGGGTGAAGCTCTATCTCACTCCTTAGAAACTCTCTTGAGTGTGTATGTATTACTTATTACTACTCTTGTGTGTGTGTATTACTTACTACTACTCTTGTGTCTTTCTAAACATTCTCAACAGTCATAATAGTCAATTATATTGAGCAAAACACTTCCATTTTAATTCAATTGAGATTAAATATTTTTTAGGAAGCATGTGCATTGGAAGCTCAGCAACCATAGTATCCAAGATCTCTCTGTTGGCTTGTATAACAATTTAAAAATAATGAACTATTCCCTTCAACACCCCTGTATTGTGACAAAAAGTAAGGCCACAATAAGAAGAGAAAAAACATTAAAATTTACCATGTGAACCCTCATGTGGTCCAAGATGCTTCAGCTTGACTGCAATATGCTCCTTCCATTTCACTGAGATTGAGACCTTTGTGGATCGATGTAAAAATAGAAGTATGCCAAGTGCAGGTGCAAGCCCACCTCATGAACAAGGTTTGTGCCTACGTTGAATGAGTTGATTCTATATCATCAGATTGTCTGAGAAGCAGAGTATTTTTTGGAGCTGAACCTATTCTTTATACCTCCAATTACATGATTGGGGGCAGGATGATGTAAGCCCTACATTCTATCTGCCAACCTATACATACATGGAATATTATCTATTGAGAAAAAGAAAAGGTACAATTCTAAAAATGTGATATCAATCCTTGATTATTTTCATGTTCCATGATAGATAAATGATCAAATTATTTATGGCATGACATTTTCATGTTTAACAATTTTTAGTACAAAAAAATCATTTTTTAAAAATTTAGATTTTTAATAAGAGAATTGTTTTTTGAAAATATTCTGAGATGTAATATAAAGTCTACATCATGATATTGCAATGTAGGCTTTAGAAATAACATCAACACAGTCCAAATTACTATGATGGATTTCTTTAATTCTAAATTCATTATCATGTTCTAATTTACCTATATAATGATATGATTTGACATGTTTATTTATATACTCAGGTTATAAAAAATAATCAGGAGTGCAACTCTACACCACATAGAATCCTATAAATACCATAATGTTAAAATATTAAAAAAAATCCTATAATTATCTTCAACAACAAAGATTTGCTTAGAATCAGAAGGAGGGAAAATGAAAAGCAACCAAGAGCACAACAAATTACTTGTGAAATATTTCTTAGGAGATGGAACAAATCTTACATTGTCAATTATACTTTAGGATTTAAAATAGACACAAAAATATACTAGAACTTACGGACCCCACACACTGGCCTAATATTTTATAATTAAAAACAATCTTAGATGCCTTCTGTCACCCAATCAACACATCATATTTTACCCACATAACACAAAGGTCATCCAATTACTTTGGTTAACTTGAGTATCAGAGCCTAAAACCTTTGTGTTATCATCATCAACTTATTGTATCCACTGGATATCTTGTTTTCTGTCAAAAAAAAAAAAAAAAAAAAAAAAAAAAACAATTAGTTTAGAAACGAAAGAAAATCTCCTGTACACACAGTAACATACATAGAGGATCAGGGAAGATGACAATTTATGAGAAAAACACTTAACTCCTCGGAAAAGTGGGCCCAAGGTTGAGATAGCCTTTGTCAACACCCCCACTCACTACCAGGTGAACATGGTTGTCACATGGGCTCAACATTTGTTGCATTGAACGTGAATGATAGTTGGATTACTTTGTAATTCAATATCAAAAAAATATTTTAAAATATATTAAAGGTCAAACAACGAAGAAAAAAGTTGAAGAAAGGATTTTGCAAACAAAAACGAAAATAGTCTAGGCTTATATTACAGCTTTAATCATGTAGAGGATTGAGCCAAAATGAACGTGTTACAACCAAAAAAATTGCTCTTATGCTTCTTCTGACGAAGGTCTGTGACTGAATGTTTCTTTACGTAATGAAATAGTAAGTATTGGTGTTGGTTTTGCAGGTTGTACTACCAAGATTGATGCACTAAATGCCATAAGCAGTGTGGGTGGGTGAACAAGCTAAGGATTCCGGGGTGAGCTGACTCGTCACACACCACTCTCACAACCAGACCCAGTCGAACATCTTCCAACCCACACGCGATCTGAACTAGCAACAGAAACACAAACAGGAGAAGAATTCTGCGATTGCTGTGCGAGTTCGGAGCAGCTGGATCTGCGTAACGCGTGTTCTTCAAGCACTAGTTTTTGCAGTCATTCTGTCATAAAGTCGATGCAAACCCTAGTGCTATACACTGAGAATGAAAGATGGCACGTCTCCGTTGAGCGACCGTGTCTACACAGGAATATCCACAGCATTCGAAAGTCAACAGACACTGAAGCACACAGATTGCAGCTCGTGACAATTTTTGTAGGGGTTCTGGGGGGCAGCGCGGCGTTGCTCCATTGGGATGCTGATCGGAAGTCGAGTTACGGGCTTGGGCCCTGAAGCCTGATCGCCGTCCCTGAAGTCCTGGGCCGACCTACAGATTGGAAATTTCCTGCAGTCGTTATGATGTTTTGACGATCCGAAAGATTAGCTGAAGCCATGTAGAACGACCAATTGGAGGAGTTTTTGACGCTTTCTTTTCTTTTTGTTATTTTCTGGTTGATTACCTCCTGGTGGTATTAAATAAACCAATTATTGAACGTGGATTGAGAATCCATCTCAGAGCGTCCGGAAGTGATGGTAAAATTTGCATCTGTTAATGTGCCGAAGCTTGTCATGAGCTCAAAATTAGTTTTTTCTCGGTTAACATTTCTCACGCGTGCGAAGCGATCTCGAACTTTGAACTCATGTGACTGATAGTTCTACATTTTCAAGTAATTTATCTTCAATTTCTCTATCAACTTAAATTCTGAAATCCACTATGCTCTCTCCACTCCTCTCAAAGTCTTCCAGTTGCGCCAAAAAAGCTTAAAAAATTTATCAACAGATGCAGACGCTCAAGTGTGGGAGAAGATTTACTTGACTATTTGTGGTTAATCTCCACAATCAGGTATCATCACAACAACAAAACAGAGCTTGTATAAGTACATAAGCGGCGGATCTGAACACCTCTCAGCACTAGCACTTCATGGTTCGCCTTCCTCCGCCTTCGGTGCATCCATTAGTTTCTTCACTCTGCTCTGGCACCCGTGGCTCTGAGAGCCTAGCAGCTGAACTTCAGTTCTCTGCGTTAAAACTTCTCGTACCCAGATTCAGTGAGCAGACGTAGTTGTTGTCTGGAGAGTTTCGCTGGCCAGTAGCAAGTTCGTTAGTTGTTATTCCAGCTCATTTAGAGTTCCTTAGAGGGTTGCTTGAGAGAATGGGAGCTTTTGATCCGATGGGTCCATCGAAAATGCAAGTTCTGCTGATGACAGTGGCGCTTGCCATGTTCTTGAGCGGCGAAGTGGAAGCGACTGCATACAACCTTCGACCACATTATTACCGGGGCAAGTGCGGCAGACATGATGTAGAAAAGATAATTTACAATGCGGTTGCGCAGGCATTTCGACAGGACAATGGAGTAGCCCCCGGCATTGTGAGGCTGGCGTACCATGATTATTTCGTTCGTGTAAGTGTACTCTCCCCTTTGTCCTGCCACTTCGTCCAGTAGTAGTTATTTGTGTGGGCTACGTCAATGCGCTTGCGTTTTTGCAAGTTTGCGGGCACACGTTGGAGGATCATATTATGTCCTGTAATGATGTGGTTTCGCACTCAATTAAGATCAGAGCATATGGATCCATCTGAAGTTGGATGTTTCTTTTTCAGGGCTGTGACGCCTCATTGCTGCTTGACACACCCAATTCTGAGAAGACTGCACCTATCAACAGAGGTCTTCGGGCGATCGCTTTCAACGCGATAGACACTGCGAAAGCCGCCGTGGAAAGTGTTTGTCCAGGGGTTGTTTCTTGTGCTGACGTTCTACAATACGCTACTCGCGACTCTGTGCTGCTGGTGCTGCTCACTTGATCCTGAATTGAATATGTCGCCACTGATTAACCCTGGAAAATATGTATCTTCAGTTCAAGCTTCCGTAGTATTTTGCCTTGGAACTCAGAGCTTCAAGACAATCACTGAACATGATATCATTTGTATGTCGATTGCAGATTAAAGGTAAAGGCTGGACTGTGTATGGCGGTCGAAAACACGGAACTGTGTCCAACTCTGCCGACCCCCCCATTAACCTGCCAGTGGAAACTCAGACGTCTAGTCAGATGATTCCTATTTTCGTCAGCAAAGGACTGAGTGCCGATGATTTGGTGGCTTTGTCAGGCGGTCACACCATCGGAATTGCTCACTGTACTTTCGTGAGCCCTCGCATCTACGGGAATAACACTGATCCGAAGATTCCAGCCGACTTCCTGGCATCGTTGAAGCGTCAGTGCCCCGCGGATTCTGTCACCACTAACCCGCCCATTGGAGCCCCGATCGACCTCGACCTAGTTTCGCCTACCAAGTTCGACTCGCAGTACTTCCAGAACATTATCCAGAGGAAGGGCTTGCTCACATCCGACCAAAGCCTGCTGGACGACTCCAGAAGCAGGAATGCCGTGTACAAGAACAACGGAAGATTCTTCAACTCAGAATTCGGAAGGGCCATGCAAGCTATGGCTCGAGTCGGTGTACTCACTGGCAATCAAGGCCAAATCCGTAAGAATTGTCGCGCTCTTAACCCTTAGGTAGAGACTTGCAATCGTCGTGGTTCATGAAATTTGAATTCACCAATGACTGGTGTAATCATGAGTTTCTTCAGGAGATTGTAACACATGGTTGGATTAGTAGTATGGAGTGCTTTGAACAATGGTGCAAGCCACACGTAATGTACCGCTACTGATGTCGAAATGAACAGTGCGATTTAGTATTAGGATCACTATCAGTAGAGTAGAATGTTCGTATATCCAGCCGCCTTGTGGTAGAAGAACCGTGTTTAAATTGAGTAAACTGGGTTATTTTTGTGTTCTCTTGAGTTGCGAAAATTCCCTCGTGCTATGTTTTCTGACATTTGAGCTGAGAGGAAAGAGATCACAAAGCAGCTGTGACATCTTGGAGCTCGAAAAGAACTATCATGTTTGCTCTAAACTAGCCAATCAAGTTGGGGGGAAAGTCATTCTTAGTGATTGATGAGAACTTTCGCAATCTCAGGGCTACAATTAACAATCTTTGGATTGGTGAGTCAAAGATCAACAATTTTGATGAAAGGTACTGTGCTGATGTACGATGCAGTAGAGTAGCGCAATGGCGCTAATGTCCCTGATAACACTTGCAGAAACAGAAAACCCACACGCTAAGAGCTTTACGAAAAGCAACCACATGTTTCACTCATAAATGTTGCCAAAGACATAGCACGCTGTGATAATGGCACCATGGGTAATCGTGTAAAATTTCCTACATAAGCCATAAACAAACGAAAAAATTAACATCGTCTTCATGCAATGGCGGCATTCCATGACAGCATCATGTTTAGCATTTGTTCTCAAACAAGGTAGACGCAACAGTGTGGTGGTTGCGGAGAGGTTCTGACCCACGCTGCCGCCTTAGGCTTCACAATTCCCCTCCGCAGATTTAACGAATACACCCTTCGCTCACTCCACTTGTCCATATCAATCCAGTAATAATTTAAAGATATAGATCAAGCTTAAGCAGAACTGATATAGAAATTTTGGCAAAATTCACACCCCAGTTTATTGAGGCCCTCCGAAATATCCAAGATTTAAACCTTCAGATTTAACACTTTTATGATGGGGTGATTGCAGAACAATAGAATTTTAAGAACTGAGGAAATTAAGGAGTATATCTGTGAAAATTTTAAGTACTGTTGCAGTCTTTCAACATTCTCATAGGGCTCGGCGTCCCTGACATAGTTTCGAATATATTTTGCCAACGGCCACGGGAGTGACGTAAGCTACGGGCACTTGCATACCTCGATGCTTCAGATTTATTGACTTTCGACGATGACACTGTTTATATGCATTGAGAGTGCAGCAAAAGATTTATATATATACATATATATATATATATATATTTGTTGCAATGCGCTCCCAACACTCACTTGGAGCGTGGCGTACGAAAGGATCTGTCTCCAATAATGCCAATGAAGTTGCTGGAGCGTGGGAGACGACCGGCTTGAGTGGTTGCAATAGAAGAAATGGTGTTAGCAACAGCTGCGGTCATAACAGGAGTTGCTTTATGAGCAGAATGTGTAATTGCAGGAGGGCTAGTAGCAGTTGAAGGGGCAGTATGTAGTGTCGATTGTAATTGGCAAAGGCGGCGATGGTCGTCCGGATCCAAAGAAAAGATGCTTGAAGAAAAGCCCAAGGTTGAACAGTCCAATCATGAGCAGTCCGACTAGAAGTGGTGCAGATGGAGAGAAGATCCACAATATCTCCAGTTCGAGGCGTACAGCAGAAGTGGGAAAACATACACATTTTGAACTGGGCCTCCATCTGGCGGTTCACTATCGCACTCAAGTCTTTGTGGGGACCATTACACTACCTATAGTTTGTCCAGTCATGATGAGGAATTACTTGCATAACTACGATCTCAGACAAGACTGTAGCAACCTCAACCTTTATGTTATAAAACGAAGGAGGGATAGAGGTTGAAGTGCGTTCATAGTTTTAGCTTCCACATTCACAATAGTGTCGGCCCAAACTCTTTCGGTATTACACATTTGACGCAACACATTGCAACATGTAGCCTGGTTAGTATTTTGGAATGTAATAATTTGACATAATGCACATCAAACGTTCTGAGTTCGCCAAATTAATGATCTATCCTTCTGTCGGAAAAATATGCACTGCTATCCATCTACACAGGATTTATGTATTGTAGTTTTCTGCAGATGATGCTCACAATTTCCGATCTTTACAAAGAAAATCACAATTTCTGATCATAATTTTTTACTAATAATGATCTTTATCAGCTACTTTTCATTTTGAATTTCATCCACTTCATTATAATTAAAAATCTCCATAATTAAGAACTTTCTCCGCATCGTGTGGTATCATGAAACTGCAATCGACCAGCGACTCTTCCTAGTATCTTATATTCATGATGGTTTTCAACCAGATTCAATTGTTTTGATTAAGATTCAAAAATGATTCACCTATCATACTGATTTTAAATCTCTCTTAGTGTATTCTTTAAGCACATTGTAAGTGAGGAATTTTACTCATGTTGATATTGATTATGTTCTCGATTTTTAAGCTAAGGTGAAACCAGTGGCGAGTGTGGCTCCAATGCTACTCGATCTAAGTGTGTTGGACTGCGGTCCCTGCAGGCAAATGTTAGCTTTTTTGTTCTTTTGCAATTGGTTCTACTATTAATTCATGGGTGAATATGTTGGAAGGGCTCGTGCTATTTTTTGGGTTTTTGATCGACTTCTCAGTCGTTGTTTACATCTGTTCGTACCTTGGTTGGTTGGTTTGTTTTTTTTCTTTGTTTTTTGGAGGGGAGATTCCAATTTACTGGAGTAAGGCAGCAGATTGTCAAGAGGAGAATACATGATAGAAAACTAAGGAAATTTATCAAGTTCTGCAAAAGCTGTGAGATGGCATTGCAACTTATTAGGCTATAAATAGAAGCAAGAGTTGTAGAGACAATGCATACCTTTTCACATAAAAATGCATAAGATTATGATATTTAAATAAGTTTTAAATGAGGCACAAATCAACATCAAAACAAATGATTATTTTAATAAAATATGTAATAGATGTGTACGTAGTTTAAATAAATATAAGAATTAGATAGAAATATATTAAATAGATGATATCTTCTTCAAAATTAATTAAAACAGTTTTGTAGATGTTGATTATATCTATAGGTTTTTTTTATATAGCATAGGGCTATTGAAACTTGTCCTATATTATTTGTATTTTTAAAAGCCATATTGAAAGCAACCTACAACTTAGTTGTAAACCTTGTGGTTCTTAAAAAAATTCTATAAGATCTTTTATTTCTATCTAACTCCTTTCATCTAGGTAATTACAAGTATTGATTTTTTTTGTGATTCAAATAGATGTAAGATAAAAGAGAATCAAAATGACTATTTTTAAATATATATATAAAAAAAAAAATGTCTAAATTATAAACACTATATTGATAAGACTAATGATGGTTTTAGTTTTGGCATATATATATATATATATATATATATATATATTTAATTATATAAAAGATAAAATCTTATTCACAAGCTTCTTAGAAGCTTCATAGATGCATATTTGACTTTATATGTGATTGAAGGTGATTGATAGGTTAAAAATTTAGCCAACAAGTTGATTACATATTATATATATTGGCTACTTGTGGTATAAGTTGGCTAATGTGGTGCACATATAGGAAACTCAACTTGCAAGTTAGACATATATCTTGCAAGTTGGACATGTATTAGAGGTCCTATAAAATATTGCCACATGATTCCTAATTAGATGGTATATATAGAGACAAGAGTGAAGTATTCCTTACTCTTATCAATGCCGTTTTTATTCTTAGTCTTATTTCAAGAGTCTATAGTCTTCTTTTTTTAACAATAACCATTCTAGTTCTAATATATACTATCTTTGAGTGAATATCTATTCTTTTTTAGTGACACAAGAGTGTATTGATTCTTTGGTTGTTTGTGATTCATGTCTTTGACAATTTGTCAGGAGTATTAATTTTTTATTCTTATTTTTTAAGAAGTGAGTGAATTATTTTATTTTATACCATTTAATTTTAAAATTACAAATTATCCACTTTTAAATTTTATTTTTAGTTTTATTATTTTGTTTTAAAAAAAAAAAAAAAAAAAAAAAACATTCTTCTTTATAGAAATTTCGATTTGATATTAAAAGTTATAGAATACCTTCCTCTAATTTAACTTGTAGTTTTATTAAAGTAATTTATTATAGAGATGGAAGAAAAAATTATGAATGTTATACTTGGTACAAGTGAAAATAGATTTATAAATATTATAGATCTTTACAAGCTTGTTAATGCTCTTAGGAAAAAATTTCACATATTACTAATATCAATTATAAATTATATATAGCTAAATCAATGCTATAGCACCTAAACCACCAAAATGTATTGTATACATAAAAAAATGAAACTTCAATTGTTATCAATATATGAGATATAGATGAAAGACTTTCTATTATGAAGATAAATCTAATTTTTTAAAAGAAGAATCAAAAAAAAGTAATACCAAGCATACCATATGCCATCTACCTTTGCATTGGATACATAATAGCATGGTAGCAACCATTTTCTTTTCACCACATATAAAACAAAAAAGATCATTTGGCACAACTCTTAGTTTAAGATGTATAAAATTATATATAAAAAGATGGCAAGGACCATAATTCTTTCAATATTCTTGACACTCTAATCTATCCTTGCCTTTAAGAAACAAAATACTATTTAATAATATATTCTAGATATAAAGAATTGTGCGTCTTATCTTAATATCAAGTATTGTAGGCACCTCACATTGCAAATAGAAATAATCTCTATTAAAGAATCTTTGCAATTGAGGTCAATAAGCTCTATTATGAATGCAAGTATATCAAAAAATAATATAGTATTAAAAAATAGATAAGATTTTCATTGTGATAGGCATAATTTTTTAAAAAAAATCTATTCAATCATATAGACATTGAGACCATATATCAAGATTATAAAAGTCCACAAATAGGATTAGTTTATCACATACTAAGCTTACTAAGTTTGGCTCCTATCCCTATAACAATTAGTAAGGACTATAACAACTTAAAGATGTTTGCCTACTAAAGTAGTAATCCAATGTAATCTATGGCAACATCAAGTTCCAATCAAAATATTTGTCATGAAATAATTCATATTTTTGTAAACCAAGTTTAATAGTTTCAATAACTTATTTAGTTAAGTCATTTTCTTTAGAATGATTTTTAAAGGTGGTGAAATAATCTATGAAATCTTTAGTACAAAAAGCCACAAAAG